GAATACAATAAAACAATATAAAATACAGTCAAAATAGAATGAAAACCAAACACATACACAAATGGTTGCTACAGCCCTTCTTATGTGATTAAAGGGAAGAGCACACACTTCTTCGTTCCACTTCTTTAGTTGCTTAATGACTAGCCCTGCCAACGTCTCTCCATTGTATGTGGGGATCCATTTACCATATGGCTCTTAGGGAAGGGCAAGTGCCAGCCAGTGCTTGATGGAAGCCCAAAGGCACTATACCCTGCATTTGGTCTTTTGACCTTCACTGAACATGGAGGATCCATTAAATGAATTTTATAGCGGATATTCCCAAATAGGAGCTTAAAAAATGAAAATAAGAACTCTTGAAAGCAATCATAATTACTCCAAAATGCAGTAAATCATACTGGTTAAAAAACAAAGAGTAGAACAAATATTGCACTGGTTTTAAAAAGATACAAACAGAAATGTACAGTAAATTCAAATAGCTAAAGTAGTATTAAATCACAACATACATTAAAATGCTTGGCAAAAAGAAAAAGCCTTTGCCTGGTAATGGAAAAATATCAAAGCCATTACTGGATGGGGCATGTCTGGAGGCTTCTGATGATGGTATTTGAATTGGATATGTTCTAATTGTACATCTGTAATTGGCAATTACTCATTTATGCCATGGATGGGTCGCAGCCTCACATCCTGCCTCAGTCAGTGCTGAAAGTTCATTATGTATTATATGGAGCAATACTTTTTGCAAGGCTGTTCAAAGCATTCGAAAGGGGCACTTTGAAAGTGCATTGCCACAGACAAAGACCTTAATGGCTCTGTAAAAAGCATTAAAACAGCCCTGTTCTTTGAAAGGCCCAGCTGAAGTATTGTCCATGCATATGTGCAGATAGGTGAGGAAAGCTTTCAAAGCAGCTGCGTCAAGCCTTCTAGGGGACACAGGTACTTTAATACTTCAAAGAGGATAATTTCATTCATACCATTGTGCTTTGCAGAATGCCCCTTTCAGCTGAGTTGTCCAACACTTCGTTTGTCTGAAATCTACTGCCACCCATATAGTGAATCATGCATGTTAATGAATGCAGACGAAAAGAGATTTATTTAAAAGGGAAAGAAATAACATGTTGATTTTCAACATGTCCTTTTACACATCTCTAACTACCTTAGGGAGAGCCAGTTTGGTGTAGTGGTTAAGATACCAGGCTAGAAACCGGAGACCTGGTGTTCTAGTCCTGTCTTAGTCATGAAGGCAGTTGGGTGACTTTGGGCCAGTCACTCTCTCTCAGCCCTTGCAAGAAGGTAATGGCAAACCACTTCCAAAATCTTGCCAAGAAGACTCCAGGGACTTGTCCAGATAGTCGACAGGAGTCAACACTGACTTGAAGGCACAAAATAAATATCTATATCTATATATCTACAGTATATCATCTATATTTATATCTGTCTGTATCTATATAACTACCTTGGGCTTTGTTTGAAGGCATGTAATAAGGCATTAATCTGGGTGAAATGAACCATTGATTAAAATCCACATTCTTTGGCAACTTTATATATGCCACTCTGATGTTTATCATACCGTATAAATGTGAAATATGCAGTCTAATAATAATATTATTTTGGTATATACAGAGTTTCACCTTCTGATGCTGATTCCACAGCAAGTGAGCACTCGAGTGGCCGAGAAACAGGAGATGAAACCGTAAGACCTCAAATAGCTGTCAGTGAGGTGAAATCTCACAGAGTTAGCAAATCTGGTAAGTTACATGCAGTCATACTTTTATGTAACATTGAAATAGTTTATATAAATATCTATTCTTAAATAATACACATGTGCTACAAGTACTGAAACAATTCTCTTGACCCTCATTTGCAAAATACATTGAAAGGCCCTTGTTTTTTGCATGAATGTAAGCACTCAAACTATTTGTGCAACAGATGTTTATGTGTTTGACTTCCTCCATAATTTCTTCTGTTTAATTCTGGCTATGCTATTCAAGTTAATTTTAGCCATAGTTCCAGCTGAACTGAATAGACCAAAGATGCTAATTTTCTGGTAAATCTGAGTCCTTTTTATTCCTTGGCTAATTTTGTTAACAAATGAGTACTAAGAAGCCCTATATTTACTTATGCAAATAAATGAGATCATTGTGATGGTGGCTACACAAGTATATAATATTCTATCCCAGAACCTTACACAGTAGACTTTCAAGACCACATGTAGTACATTCCCCTAGAACACATGGTATACATCCAAATTCTCTTAGAAGGCCTATGGTATATCCTTGGTCAAACTGTACAAGTAATTCCCTTGTGTTAACTGCCGTATTAGAATTTAGAAAGTAGCATCTCACTTTCCTATCATGGTTTGGTGAATTATAATGATACCCTTTGTTTTATTTTCTCTGGATGCTATCAGGAGTAAACAGAGTGGGTAAGTTTCAAAAAGAATATGAAGCTGAACCTTGCAGCAAATTTAAGCATAGGATGAGAAGGTCTTGACTATAGAAGTAAATGTAGTAGATTTTCCTTTAGCCATCTTCCCTGTGTATATTGATATGAAACAACTTTACCCTGAATAAATAAGTCTATTGACTCATCACCAAACAATTATCTACTCTTAGTAACTTTCCGTAATCATGTTCAGATCTTTCATATCAATGGCTACTTAACTGAAGTTGAATTTAGGAGCTTGTGCATGTAAAATCTGTGCTTGACTACTAACCTATATGCCTCCCTTTCCTGTATATTATTGCATGATGCTTTGCTGATGGGTGAATTTAGAAATGCAAGGTAACAGAAGAGGTCGTTTCTCTAAATTATTTTTCTGTGTGCTATTTCTCCACCTTCTGGATTGCTCCCCTTGCACAGTTTAGCAGGATTAGGCTACCTGTGGGCCTAGAACCAACAAATGAGGCAGCTGCATGAGAGGGAGAAAGAGAGGAGACTATAAGAGAAAAAGTGTCTAAAAGAAGAAAAGGGGAATATTAGAAAGAGAGAGAAAAGGTGGCCCCATCCACTTTAGGCTCTGATCCCACCCATTGTTTGCTTAAACTCCTTCCAAAAATTAAAAAGTGCCCATCCTTGCCCTGGAAATTAAAAAAAAACATTCCTAAAGAAAGGTATTTGCTGTGGTTTTATTTATGCACACATGGTTTGACTTCAAGCAGGCGGCTGTGCAGGGCCTTCCTCCCTCTCTATTTTCATTTTATGTGCAAGTGGACTTAGAAGATTCTAAGCAGGAGAGTTTAGGGTGATTTCTGTGAGGCTGCAGTTTTATGAATAATAGTTGGCTGAATAGAGGTCTGATGTTTTTATTTATAAAGCAGACAGTTGTATCAGGATCTAGCTTCCCATTATCATGGAAGACAAGTCTTTAATCCTGAGTTTCTGAACATTACCAGATGTTCTTGTTACTGTTAAAATCATATTCATCTCTTGACAATAATCTTTATTGCTTTATTTCAGACAACCATTTAAGAGTTGTATATAAAACCTTCTTTCAAATGTAAAGCTAAAGCATAACTTAATGTTTTCCTTCTTTGGTTTAACTGTGAGTGAAAATTGGAAGCACTTGGTTCTATATTCAGTTATACTCAATTTTGTATTACATCTGAATCCTAAATTGTGGCTAATTTAAATTTTGTTTTTTGAAATAAGCCAGCTTCCTAAAGCATAATAAGAAGTAGGTTTATTTTAGTCAAATGTAACTAAGGTGTAATGCTACTGTGGTTTGTTAAAAGCAAAAATGAGAGTTTATGGCCTTGTGACCATGTCAAAAAGTAAAAGTGAGATCCCATATGCTGAATGTTCCTTGGCATAGCAAAAACATGGTCTTGTGTTTAGCTTAGACAATAGACTTGCCTATCTCATATTTTTTAACCTTCTTTTTAACCTTCTCAGCATGGCCAAGTATTACTAGAAAAGTCATGTGGCTTTTACTAAGCAAAATCTTATAATTCTAGGAAAGCAATAATAAAGCTAATTTTGGCTTAGGGAGGCACTTTCAATATAGTTAATCAGACTTGCATGGATTCATTAACTTGATCTTCATGTAGTAAATTAACTACCACTTCTGTGCCTTGCATTTGTTTTTTTTACATAATATAAGAGAAAGTTGCTTCCTGTCCTTGCTGCTTTTTTTCCTCAGTACTCTCTCTTGCATCTGTAGATATTTGATGTGCATGCACCATGATGCCCATACACACACACACACACACACACACACAAACATGGAGGGAGTGTTGTTCAATGCATTGCAATATTAATTGCACACTCTCATATAGGACTGCAAGGAATGCTCTCCCAGGCTCAGCAAGTGGCTTTATGATCATGTGTCCATCCCCAGACCCTGCCTTAGACCCCGTTGTCTAAGTCAGGAGCATTTAGGGACACCTTAAGTGAACTAGAAAGGGGAAGTTTTTCATTTTGGTCCATACCATAGTGGGACAAGGGAATGACCTTGAGGGACAGGAGGAAGATCTGCTACCAAGACAATGGTCAAATAAAAGAAACCTGAGTCTGGGGCAGAACTGTAACCTGAGAAAACATCTCAGATAAGACCCTCTCTAGTTCTCACAAAAATAAAGGGAGGGAGGGGGAAAGTGCAATCAGACTTGCAAGATTCTGTTACTATATCTTTATAATAAAAGTGATTCTGGCCTGCATGGCTTTAGTTTCCTAGTCTGGCCTACTTTTAAGGGCTGACATCACCAGGATGATAAATAAACATTCAAACCTCTACTTTTAGCATGGTTTTCTATGGATTTCCCCATATGCTTGATGCCAATTTTAATTACCCTGCTGTGGATAAAAAATAAATAGTACCATAGTCATTAGGATAGAAGTAATTTTATTTACATTTGCAACTAATCTGTGCAAACCTAACATGCATTTGTGGGAGGTTTCTTTTGTTGTAGGCAATAGCGATAATGGGCTGGTTCCACTGACTGCTCTCTACTCCTAAGGCAGTTGGGGTCCCTCCAAGCCTCCAAGAACTGACAAGCCAGCAAAACTGATTATTGAAAGAACAGCCCACAGTATCAGTTTTTTAATTTATATCCCAAATTTAGTCACCACCCATCTCACTCAAAGAGTTTTCATTGTAATGGGTTGCAAATCCCATCACCTTTATCCTAGCATGTAGGCTGGGACATACAGGTAGTATCTGACCTATCACCATTTGGTTAGCAAGTGTTCCAAGTTACAACAGTGCTGAAAGAATGATGGTTATGACTAGTCCTTGGAGTTCCAGCTGTCCTAGCAACCCCACAGTCACATGATTGCAATCTGGGTGCTTGGAAACCCATTTGCACTTACAATCATGTGATTGCCGTTTACAACATTCCCTGCCAGCTTCCCCAGAAAGTCAATGGGGAAGCTGGCAGGGAAGGTTGCAAGTTGCTGGGGTAAGTCTCCCCCACCCGAACACCCTCTCCCAGCCCCTCTGTGCTCGTGCTGTACCGGCCACTTGTGCACCCCCATACACCCTCCCCAACCCTCGCTGTGCCTCCCTTGCACCCCCGTGCATACTCTTGCTCCCTCCCCCACCCAGCAGCAGCCACTTACCTGCCTGTGGGCCTGGGACTTGCAACTTCTTGCCAGCTTCCCCAATGACTTTGGTTGTGGGAAGCCAGCAGGAAGTTTCCTTACCTAACAACCGTGGATTCAATTAACGATGGCAACCAGGGCTGCAGAGATTGCCATCGCTGAGCAATGCGGTCGCGCTGTACAATCACATTGCTTAGCGACAGAAATTCTGGTCCCAATTGCCATTGTATGTCAAGGACTACCTGTAGTCTGATTTATTTATGCACTATATTGAAAGCACACCTTTCCTTCAAGAGCTCAAGGTGGTATCCATACTACATCTTCCTTCAGTTTTCCCCCACAAGTACCTTGTGAAGCTGGTTGGGCTGAATCCTATTAGTCTACCTAATATCTGGATCTTTGTGCTATCCCAAGTCAAAATCTTGAGCAGGCATGCATGCGTGTGCATGTATATACTGTATATATGTGTGTATGTGTGTGTGTGTGTGTGTAACTATCTTATTCTACATCTGAAGCATGAAAGAATATCACTGAAGAAAATGCATGACTTGGTTACCCTAAAAGAAAATCATGACCATTCTTTTTTTCGTGTTGCGTTTTTGAGAAAGGAAGTGTGTGCTCTTTTTACTGTACCATTCTTTGATGTGCTGGACTACATGTCCCATAATTCTTAAATGGCCTTTGGGTGTTGTGGGCTAAGTGGTCTTTTATAATCAAATTGAATGAAATGCGCACTCACCCTTGGGGAAGTGCATTCAGTTTTGCTAAATCCCTACATGTCTCAAGTGCTGTGCTGCTAGACATTTATACTAATTTTTGCCCTTGCCCTCTGGTGGACCAAGAAGAGTCAGATATTTGAAGATTGAGGCGGGTCTATAGAATAGTGATGATTTTTATTTATTTATTTTTGTTCCTTCAAGTCATTGTTGATGACTGCTTGGACTAGTCCCTGCAGTTTTCTTGGCAAGGTTTTTCGGAAGTAGTTTGCCAATGCCTTCTTTCCTAGGGCTGAGAGAGAGGGACTGGCCCAAGGTCACCCAGTTGGCTCTGTGCCTAGGGCAGGACTAGAACTCACAGTCCCCCGGTTTCTAGCCTGATGCTTTAACCGCTGCACCAAACTGAGTCTCGTAGTGAAATATGCTGCCCCGAATTACATGTTTTTAATTTTTGGCATGAATTGCATGTTTTAAAAATCATCATCATCATCATCATCATCATCATCATCATCATCATCATCATATTATTATTATTAT